TGGCCAACTTTGACAGCGCATCTGCATGGGCGTTCTCTTCCCTTGGGACGTGCACGAATTCCAGTTCTCTTAACCAGGCGCCTTCTCTTCTGACTGCTTGGACATAGGCTTCCAAGGCCTCCTCTTTCACGTCAAACGCCCCATTGAGCTGGTTGACCACGAGGGCTGAATCGGACTTAACACTAACATGTTGGGCGCCCAATTCTCGTGCCATGCGGAGCCCCACCACGACCGCTGCATACTCGGCTGCATTGTTAGTCTTAAGTTCCGAAAACCGCAGAGCAATCTCATGCATGACCCCGTTGGGGCTGATAATCACTATTCCTGCCCCGGCGCCAATTCGGCTCGCCGCCCCGTCTACTTGAACTTGCCATGTCTCCTCATCAGCCCCTTCAGCCTCCACTACTCCCTCCGCCAAAATCGGCAAGCACCTGACCTTTGATGGCAGGTCGAGGTGCGTACCTAATGTCAAACTCGCTTAGCTGCACGGCCCATTTAACAAGGCGCCCAGCCACATCCATGGAGCCTAAGGTAGCCTTGAGAGGTAGGTTGGTGAGCAGAACAATAGCATGTGCCTGGAAATACGGGCGTAACTTGGTGGCGGCGGTTATGACAGCCAAGGCAGCCTTTTCGATAGGCGCATACCATTTTTCATGCGGGCCCATCGTCTTACTCACATAGTACACCGGCCTCTCTTCTCCCGTAGGCACCTCTCTTGATATTAGCACCGCACTAACCGCCACTTCCGAGACCGCAATGTATAAGTATAGAACCTCCCCGGCCTTGGGTGCCGTCATGACCGTGGGCGCTGCCAAAAGGCGTTTCAACTCCTCAAACGCTTCACTGCACGCTTCGTCCCATTGGAAGCGGACCGCCTTCTTGAGCACTCTGAAGAAGGGGGCCGCCTTGTCAGCCGACCTTGGTATGAAGCGCCCCAGAGCCGCGAGTCTCCCCGCTAAGCCTTGTACTTCTTTAGGCGTCCTCGGCGGTGCAAGCCTGATGATGGCCTCTACTTGCTTTGGTTTTTCTTCAATCCCTCTCTTAGTGATCATGAAGCCCAGAAATTTGCCCGCCTCCGCGCCAAAACGCATTTGAGGGGGTTGAGCCGAAGGTTGTGAAGGCGCATGGTTTCAAAGGTCTCCCTCAAATCACACAGGTGATCCTCCCGCCTATGGCTCTTGACTATCAAGTCGTCCACATATGCCTCTACTTTCCGCCCGATTTGTCGTTGGAAGACCGTATTCACCATGCGTTGATAGGTGGCGCCTGCGTTCTTTAGTCCAAATGCCATGACCCTATAGCAAAAGTTCCCAAAGGGCGTCATGAATGCCGTCTTCAATCGATCTTCTTCGGCCATGGGGATCTGGTGGTACCCCGAAAACATGTCGAGGAAGCTAAGCATCTCATGATAGGCCGTGGCGTCCACCAACAGATCAATGCGGGGCATCGGATACCCGTCTGTCGGACACGCCTTGTTAAGACTTGTGAAATCCACATACATTCTCCAATCTCCTGCCGGCTTGGGGACGAACACCACATTGGATAGCCACGTAACATAAGCCGCCTCCTCTACGAAACCGGCGTCAAGGAGCTTATCCACCTCCACCCTGAGCATAGCCTCCTTCTCTTGAGAAAGATTCCTCCTCTTTTGCTGAACAGGCTTCCTTCCCTTCTCCACTGCCAACTTATGCACGGCCGTCTCAGGCGCCACTCCGGGCATTTCCTTAGCACTCCAAGCGAACAGCTCCGTGAACTCCCTCAACAAGGCGACTAACTTCTCGACCATTTCGGGAGGCGCCTGAACCGAAATCCTGATTTGTCTTTCCGGTCGGCCCTCATCCAGTGGGATCATCAACTCCTCATCGGCTGCCTCCGCCCTGGGCGCCTCCTCAGTGGTAACCAGATTTATCCTTTGATTTTTTCGGGGCCGCACACTCTTCAGCTTAGTGTAAATCGGGGCGCTTCTTCCTCGTGCGATGCCTACTCCCTTCGGTGCTATGAACTTCAACGTCTGATGGCAAGTGGACGCTACCCCATTGAACAAAGCCAAAAGGGGCCTGTCGAGTATTGCATTGTAGGGAGACAGGCAATCCACGATCCCAAAATCAATAGCATGAGTGACCCGCTGCTCTTCATCGCCTAGAGTGACAGGGAGGCGCACGCGCCCAATGACTCTCGCCGGCGCCCCTGAGAACCTACTAGCATCGAATCCGATGGTCGTATCAAGTCAGGAGACAAATGCATGCGTGCTACTGTATCCTTGAACAAAACGTCCATGGAGCTCCCGGTATCTACAAACATCCTCTTCACCGTGCACCCGGCTAATATTCCTTGAACTTCCAGTGCCTCTAAGGAAGGTATCCCATAGGCTTCGTCGGGCACCTGATTGAAGCTAATACACACCCCTTCTTGACGATCGACTGATGCCGCTCTTAGGCGCCTGCTAGCTTCCAACTTGTCCCTCAAATCCATAGTGCCCGTGATCGCATCCACCGTAAGCCTCACCTTCTCAGGTGTTTTCTCTTGATCAAGCTCAAATCGAGGCGGGGGCAGATCCTCCTTGGGTTCCGCCCGGGCCACGTACGCTCTGTGCACCCTCTCTTCTGGTTTTTTGACGAACTCATTGAGCATGCCCCTGTCCACCAACTCTTGAAACTCAGTCTTCAGCTGGTAACAATCAACTGTATTATGCCCTCGCTCTCGATGGAAGTCACAAAACCGATCCAAATTCTGCGGATTGGGTTGCCCCCTCATAGGCCCCAACCATCTTACATGGTACCCCTTATCCTTCACATATTGCAACACGTTCTTCGGCGAGTCGTTGAGCTCTGTGAATTGGTTCGCCCTCGGCGCCGGGCGCCCCTGATCATTCCTCCTCACCGGTGTGAATGATGAACCTCCATAGACAGGCCTGGACTCGGGCGCCTACTTTCGTGCCCCATCTCCGTCTTCACCCTTTGGGCGGCGCCTATCGGCCCGTCTCGCCGCTAGCACCTCTTCCAACACTATAACCTTCTGCACCCTACGATCCAAGTCTTCCGTAGACACTACATCCCTTTTAGCTAGCGCCCGACAAAGCTCTTCACTCGTGGTACACTCCTCAAGAAGGACCCCCAGTACAGGGGGTTGCACGTCCCTTACGGCCATTGCCACCGGGATCCACCTCTCGTAGAACTCCCTCAAAGTCTCCCCTTCCTTCTGCTTAATCTTGAACAGGGAGCCTACGGTCAGTGTACGCCTCTTTCTACTTGCAAACTTTGCCAAGAACATCGCCGCAAATTGCTCAAAGCATTCTATGCGCCCTTCTTCGATCTGATGGTACCAATCTAGGACCACGCCTGAGAAAGTTGATGGGAATACTTTGCATAAGGTCGCGTCTGAACTGTTGTACAGCTGCATTTTGGTGAAGTAGCTGTTAAGGTGGTCATCCGGGTCCGCAATACCATCATGGGTGGGAAGTGGTGGAATGTTGGTACTGGCGGGCTCCATGAGCACGCTCCTGGCCAAGGGCTGCCTTACCACGAACTGTCGAGGTGGACGCCCCTGCATCCACACGTTCCTTTCCCCCTCGGAGTCTCCGTAGTCGGCCAGGCGTCTCATGCTAGCTAGGCGCCTAAGTGAACTGGACTCCCCCTCAGCATCCATCGTACGCTCCCTTTTCCTCGTCACGGGCTAGGCGCACCCTCTTTCAGCATTTCTACCTCTCTCCGCAACATCCCGATGGCTTCATCCTGATCGGCTATGATCTTGAACAGTTCCTTCTTAGTGACCGAGGCCTCTTCCGAACTCAGATGCTGGCCTTCACTTCCTTCATCCTCCTCCCTACTAGGTGTTCGTTCTCTTGCCTCTTGAGACGCCTCCCCCATGACTTGCTCCTCGACTTCACTTCCACCTTCTTCCATTGGAACTAGGTGCCCCTTCCTCTTGCCTTCTATCGTCTAGTTACGTCTGAACTCTCCTTCTCCCCCTACCTGGCGCGCCAATTGTTGATGCCCACTCGATCCGCCTACTCTTCTTCCGTACCGTGCCCTCCCCTTCGTGGATAGGCCTGCATTCACAGAGGTGGGCCTCGTGGCCCGTTAGTCCTCCAACGCTCAAGTCAGTGTTTTTCTTAGTGAGAGAAGTGCTTGTTATGCAATATTTTAGTGAGAGAAGCCAAATTGAGTAAATGCTTACCAACCTCCCTATTTATAGCTGTTCATTGCTTACCTGGGTCTCTTTGTGCGGACTTCCACGTCACCACCGCATTTAATGCAAGTGGCTCCAGGCGCCCTACACACACTTGCCCACGCTCACAACCGGCCTTAGCCTCCACCATCTTTCCTAAACACACCTTAGGACCTCTAGTAAGTTACGCCCTCTTGGGCTACTTGGGCCCCATCCCTCTTACTGGGCTCCTCCTTTGTACTGAGGCCCCTTCCATCCGAATACCCCCAACAAGTCTCATCAATCTTTGTTGAGAATACCACGTAAATCTTGTCTCCTTTCTTTACGGTGATGCTATTTTGACACATGTACACTGAATTTCATCAAATTTTAGCCTAAAATGAATGGAGTGGAGAAGTATGGTACCTACTTGCTTGAGAGTGTTCCAATCCAATGTACAAACATCAATAACATATTGATTATGAGACAACGTGTATCTAATTAACTTGAACCTCGTACCTCGAGATACAGGGGTGAAAATTCACTTTGTGTGTGAGAAAATTAAAATTAACTAGTTCATCATTCTTGAATATGATGATCAACCTATAATTGGTGCATATACAATCACTCTGTGGCTTAAATTTGCTCAAAATATAAGTGGCATATATCACATTTCCTTAATCACTTTCATTTCACGGATCATATATTATTACTGTATAAAGCGGTATGGTAATTTAACGACCAAAAGCAACCATTTCGTACCCATCTCGTACACGATTCCTCTCCAAACGACAAAACGGCAGTAGCAGTAGTAGTGTGTACACATATATATTTACAGTTGCCGTAACTATAAACTAACTCTGATACTGATACCTGGACAATAGACACGTGTCCATGCAAGGATTGCTCTTCCACTCCTCGCCGGAGTAAAGCCTCAAGATCTCGGCCACCTTCTCCTTCAGATGCGCCGCCGCGTCCGACTGCAGCACCACGCACAGCTTCGCCACCGCCTTCACGCTCAGCAGCTCCTGCAGCACCGCATTCGTCCCGGAGAACTTGCACACCAACGACAGTATCATCACCGCCCTCTCGTCGGCGGCCGGGGACGACGCCTTCATCAGCCTCTTCGCCACCACCGCCACCCCCGCCCTGTGCCTCAGGAACTCCGCCCTCCCTTCCGCGCAGCAGCACAGGTTGAAGAGCACCCCGAGCACCAGCTCCGTCGTCCTCCTGCTCTCCGTCAGCGACCCCGCCGCGGCCAGCTCGAGCTCCACGAGCTCGAACACCGCGCCGGACTCCACCATCGCCACTCGGTTCTTTCCCAGAGGGGAAACCCTCAACATCACTGTCAAGGCTGAGTTGACTGCCTGTTGCCGATCGCGATGATCATGATGATCATGATCATCGCGATCGGCAGCAGTAGCTCGTGCCGCTCTCAGGAACCCCACAATCTTCTCGAAGAAGTCGGGACTCAGCCGCTCCGTCGCAGTATTATTATTATTACTGCTGCTGCTAGAGCACGTTTCTTCAAAAAGCAGTCTCATCACTGAGACTGCATTGTAGCTGACGTGGTTGTTGGAAAATTCCAACAGCCACGTCAGCGCCTGGACGATCCGGTCTATGTGGTGATGCTGTTGCAGTGTCAGCTTCATCTCGACCGGGCCGGCGCGGACCAGGTGGAGCACCCGGACCGCCTCGTGCAGTCCAGGAGCGTGCGGTTCCCGCCGGTCGAAGGAGTCGAGGAGGATGCCGACCATGGCTTGGGGGACGCCGGCGTCGAGGAGGTGCCTGCGGTTGCGGTCGTGCTCGGAGGCGAGGGTCTCGAGGCGGCGGAGGACGAGGAGGCGGTCGGAAGGGAGGCGGCGGAGGAGCTTGATGACGTGGAACCGGTCGAGGAGGGGCTTGGGGGTGGGGATCCGGTCGATGCCGCGGCAGGTGCACCACGACTGGATGAGGCGGCGGAGGGTGTGGTTGGGGGTGAGGTCGGAGCCGGCGGGGAGGGGCTGTTTGGTGACCGGACAGGTGGTGTTCCGGCCGGTGAAGATCCAGTGCTCGATGCTGTCGCGGTCGTAGGTGATGCCGGTGATTGCGGTGACTGGGTCCTTCATGATTTCGAGGGAGATTGGGCAGAGGAAGAACTTGGGAATCTCCACTTCGTCGTCATCCATTGGGAGAAGGAGAAGGAGAAGAAGAGATGTGGGAAATGGAGAAATGAAGGCTTTGGTAAGAGAAATCGGCTGACGTTGAATATATATAGGATAGGATAGGGAGGAAGAAGAGCTGAATTCCGATTTTGAGGGGGTACGGTCTTTGTTCATTGGGTGGTTTTAAATTTGTTTTTTTTCTTTTGTTTTAATTTGGCGGGTCAAAAGAGGAGAATTTGCGGGTCGTGAACGTACGTGAAGATAGTAAATAAAATAAATCATCATTTGAGACAACACGTAACCGCCAAAATAATTGAATGGAGGACGATAGACCAATGGAGAAGTGGGATTTTTGAGAAGTCATGCTTTGATTTTTTCCATTATTATTATTATACGTGAGGGAGCTTTCTTTCTTTATATTCTATTAATCCCCCCCCCCCCCCCCCCCCTTGTTTTGTTAATTGTGAACATATAACTTTGGACTCTGGTCAAACAAGATTGTTGAGATCATCAACAGTGGTGGGGGCAAAAGGAGTTAGGAGTTGTTTGGATGCGAATGTGACAATGTGTTATTGAGTTCGTTCGAAAACTTATTTATCAGGTAGGACTTGGATTAAATGTTTTTTTTTATTTTATAAATTTAGGTATTTATTCAAAAAAAATCATATTTATATTGATGTTAAAATGGTAGTTAATAAATTAATAACATGAAATACTGTGTTGGAACCTTATGAGTTTTAATGTCCCTGACAACCGCGGCGGATCAAGGATCGGGTAGAGCACTGGGCCATATTAGAAAAAAGGCGAATAGGGATGGGCCGTAACACGACGAACACTGAAACGAACACCGAAAAATCGAAAATTTACAAGTGTTATACTAGCTCTGGATCGAGGGAGGGTTGGGCCGCCGTGGCCTGGGGGCGGACCCCTAGATCCGCCACTGCCTGAGAAACATAGGTTTTTAGTTAGAAAGTTGAATAAATATTGTGTTGATTTAGTTGCTATATTAGAAACTCCGGTTATAGCTAGTAATGCTGATGATATTGTTAATATACATTTTAGTCAATGGGTACACTTAGATAATTACTCTCATTCTACATCTGGTAGAGTCTGGTTGTTCTTGAAGAAGGGTATACAGGTGGGTAAAGTGACAATAGGAGAGCATTATATTCAAGTAAGGGTTGGGGGAAGCCACAATTGTGTGGTTACAGCAATATATAGTCCAAGCTGACAGGGCAGAGGATGTATGCTGAGTTGTTGCCTTGGTTAATTACTAGTGAACCAGGAATTTTCATGAGACATTTTAATGCTACGTTGGAGGCTGATGAGTCGTCCAATACTGATGTTCCTAATCAAAGCTCCTTGGATTTCAGAAGATGGATAGGTGATATATGGGGCTTTTTTATCATAAGGTGCTGGGTATGTGGTTTACATGGTGGAATAAGCATATCATTGGTTAATCATTCATTGAACCGTTCATTAACATAAAAAACTTGTATGTTACACTAATTTAAAAATAAAGTTATTAATGATCATAAATAACTTCAAATTTATATCATCACTAAAATATCTAATAAATCATTCAAACCATCTCACAAAAGAAATGATGATATTTAATTCAAATTAAAAATTACAGTGCTAGTCGATAGTGGACCACGTAAAATCGACAACAAGGTTGGAAAATGAGAAGAGAAGCAGATATAAAATTAATAATTAAGGTTTGATAGTCTAAGTTTAGGATAAAGTATTTTTAATACATATTTATGGTTAAAATATAGTGAACTAATGGACCAGTTAAATCATGGTGGTTCATCTGGTTTTATGTTGAACCGCGAAAAACCATTTGGTCCATCAATAACCGTCCAAACAATGAACCCAGACCGTTATCGTAACTAGTTTAGCGGTTCTACTAGCCTAGTCGTTGATCCGGCTTGGTTCTTATAACAAGGATTTTTGGTTAATTTTGAATGGTTGACTAAACATTCTCATAGTGTGGGTCGTACCCCGACTCTAGGGGTTTATGATCACTTTGGAATGCTAATGGACTCTTTTCATGCACCAGCTTCTTTGCCTAACCCGATTAAGTTTTTCAAATTTTGACGGCTTCATGCTAACTATTCTGCTTTACTAGAGGAGGCATGGGAGACAAAGGTGGTGGAATTGAAATTTAAGGTTCTTTATGGCAAATTGATGGTCCTTAAAGTTAAATTGAAAGAGCTATATTGGTCATATTACTCGGAGATCTCTGAAAGGGTTCGAGAAGCTGAGATGCAGCTAGAGGACATTCAAAAGAGGTGTTAACCAATCCATTTGAAGAGCTTGAACATAGAGAATCAGAATTGTCCAGTATGTGCCAGCAGTTGCAGAAAATCGAGGAAAGTTTTTCAGGCAATAATCATGTGTACAGTGGTTTCTAAAGGGGACTGTAACACTAAATTCTTCCATGCAGCAATGAAGGCTAAAACTCATAAGCAGAACATTCAATGTAATATGGTCCAAGTGCCACTTATTATGTGCACGTATCTCGGTGGAGGAGCATACCTTTATCTCTCAGGTAACTGCCTTCCCCATTGGTTCTTGGTCTGTCATGTATATCTGGGGTCCCTTTTATTACAGACAAACTGGGTTCTTTGTATTGTCAGAAGCTGGGGGAGAAAATTACTTCACGTGTTTGGATTTCTCAGTTATTCTAAGCGCCTCCAGCTAATTCTGAGAGTATACAACAATAATCCATTTGATGATGTATATAGCCTCGACCTATATATGATATCTTCAAGTAGTTTGATTCATGGATTATTTTGCTTTAAGTACTTTGAATATGTCAGTTGATGTTATTTTTAGTATGTTGCTTTCAGTACTTCGAATTAACAGTTGAGGTATGTTTTACTTTTGCAATTGGATTCCCTTCTTTTTTTTGTCCAAGTGAACCAAGTACCTACCACTTTCTGATCTTCAAGTTGCAGGTCATAAATCCATTTGTAGAATTGATGAGCTATCCCATAAAACCACATGATTTGAAGCTTAACTACGGAACTGTCTAATCAAATTTACAAAATCAATGCTAAATTTATTTTTATCCCTTAATAGATCTTGATCCTTTTGCAATTGGATTCCTTTCTTGTTTATTTGTCCAAGTGAACCAAGGACCTACCACTTTCCAATCTTCAAGTTGCATGTCATTTATCTTCATAAAAAGAGCTATCCCCTTAAATCACATGATTTGAAGCTTTATTTACACCGGTTATTATTGTAACTGTCTGTACATTTTGACTCTGTTGGCAGCTTGATTTGATGCATATACAAAATTCAATCGAATTATGTCACGTTGCCATGTAAAAATTGCTCATTTCTTTTAGAACAGTAAATTTCAGTTCTTTTTTCCACAATACCCAAATTCTAACCCACTTAATATCAAAATATGGGTAACTAAACTCTCATTCTGTGAAATGCTCCTCTAAAATATTCTTTACATTTTCTTTCCGTACTCTAGTCTTTAAGATACCCACTATATCAACCTTCCATCTTCGCAACATTTCAACTATGGATTCATGCTTTCCAGGGTTATTGAACCTCGCATGTTCCAAGTCAGAACTATCATACTTAACTTTCAGCTGTCAATTTAGCTAAACAAATCGAAATAACACAGACTTTTTAATGTGGTAGTCCACAGAGAGGATCTCCCTGACTTAACTTCTTTGGTACAGGCACAATAGTTTATATAGGTTTGCTCACACCAAACCCTAGCTACATAAGCTATATGAGGGAAATTTACAATAAAATCCTCATATAATTAACACCCTTCCTCAAATTGATGTTGGGTTCTCAACATCAATTTGGAAGAAAGATACCAGTGCCTACTCAATGATGCAGCCTTTGTCAACACATCACCGACTGCTCATCTGTTCTCAAGTACCGAAGTTGACTGATCCCTTCTGCTACAAGTTGTCGAATGTAGTGAACATGCACTTCAATGTGCTTAGTCCGATCGTGCAAGAGAGGATTGATGGCAATCTCTATTGCAATAGCATTGTCTCCATTAGTCGCCATTGGACTAAGTCAAGAAACGACCAATTCTTCAAATAGTCGATGTAGCCAGACCATTTCCGAGCTCACTTCTTACATTTAGCGATATTCTGCTTTTGTTGAAGATTTCGATATTATGTCCTGCTTTCTGCATCCTCATGAAACAAATGAATTTCCAAACTTGATGCACTAGTCAGGTGTTGAACGCCTACTATCCAAACATCTTGCATAATCAGTATCGGCAAAAGCTTCAATTTTAGGCTCTCCTCCCGCAAGAAAGAATAATCCCACATCACTTGTATACCTAAGATATCGCAGTAATCTATTTATAGCATCCAGATGTGTTGTCATATCAACCCCCCGGAACTGACTCACAACCTGTACATCATATGAGATGTACGTTCGAGTGTGAGTTAGATAGATCAGATTACCCACCACACTTCTATAGAAAGATTGATCCTCTAATAAATCTCAATCATCTTTTCACAACTTCAGGTTTGGTTCAATGGGAGTGGAACACGACCTGCAATCCTCAAACCGTGTCGAAGCTAGAAAATGTGAAATGTACGTCTTATGGCAAACAAACAATCCATGTGCTTTGCGTGTCGAACCTCTAAGCTTAGGAAATAAGCAACCTCTCCTAGTTCTTTAAGATTGAATGCTTGGTGAAGGGTACTCGTCAGTTCCTGTCTTCCTTCGTCATCATCTCCAGTACCTATCATGTCGTCTACATAGAGTAGAAGAGCAATGATCCCATGGACAGTTCTTCGAATAAACAATGAGGAGTCACTATGACTATGTTGAAAACCAGCCTGCAGAATAGTCCCGTGAAACTTTTCGAACAAAGCTCGAGGAGCTTTTTCACTCCATAAAGAGATATAACCAGCTTATATACAATGTCCGGTCCTACCTTCTTATACCATGGAGGTGAATCCATGTAA